AATCCAGCGGAATGGCAGAATCCGCAATTCAAGTCGACGCTAGGAGCATGGATGATGATCCGGTGACACACCAGGAGGCACTATGCACAGACGACTCCGTACGCTGGAAGACGACGATGAACGTGGAGTACAACACGCTGATCAACAACAAAACTTGGACGTTGACGGAACTAGCTCCCGAAAGGCAGGACGGCAAGAGAAAGCACGACGTAAGTGGTAATTTTGACCGCTACAAAGCTCGCTTGGTGATCAAGGGAGACTCTCAGCAAAAGGTGGTGGGGTACGACAAAATATACTCTCCTGTCGTTCGTCACAGTTCACTGCGGTACATCTTTGCATTGGCGGAAAGTTCGATCTGCAGGTGGACCAGATGGATGCCATCACTGCGTTCCTGCAGGAAGATCTGGAAGAGGAGATTTTCATGGAACAACCGCCTTATTTCGTGAAAACCAGAGGACGTCAACTGGTATGTCGTTTGAACAAAGCACTCTATGGTCTCAAGCAACCCAGTAGGATCTTAAACATCAAACTGGACGCCGTGCTGAAGAAGCTGAGACTAATCCAAGTGGAGTACGATCCATGCCAGTACTACTGGATCGATTTTGTTCGTTGTGGTGTACGTTGACGACGTGCTGATTTTCTCCAACGATATCGCGCTGAAGAACAGCCTGAAGGCCAAGCTGAGTAGCACATTCCGGATGAAGGATTTGAGGCTTGCGACGAGCTCCTTGGGCATCCGTATCACCCGTACGGAAGGTTCAGTTTCGTTGGACCAGGAGGCTTACATCGACTCTATCTTGCGTCGGTTCAACATGCAGTATGTGAGGGCCGTAACCACTCCAATGAAAACCGCTGAAAAACTGTCAAAGGAGATGTCGCCGTAGACTGTGGAAGAAGCCGAGCGGATGAAGATAGTTCCATACCAGGAAATTGTCGGATAAGCATGCACCGGGCACAGTGTATGCCTTCAGACTTACTGTTAGCCGTTAACTTGTTGAGTCGTTTCAACAACTTCCACAGACCGAAGCACTGGGAGGCAGTTAAGCAACTTCTCCGTTCTCTGATATTAGCATCAAAAATGACATTAGCATATTTTGCCACCGGCGACTCGAAGCTCGTTGGTTATTCCTTCTGTTGCAAGGAGGAGCTACTGTAAGCGACATACCACCGTATCACTCTCAGCATGTGAAGCGGAGTACATGGCGTTGTCTGCTGCGGTACAAGAGGCGTCATGGTGGCGAGGACTGGTGTCGTAGTTTGGCGAACAAAATCCGATCGAGTTGCTCTGTGACAACCAGAGTACAAATTGTATCACGCGGAACGGCGGATACATACCCCGGACGAAATACATTGATATCCGGCACCATTACATCCGTGATGCGTTGGACCGTAAAATTATCAAACTTAACTACGTCAAGACAGAATACCAGGGTGCAGATGGTTTGACAAAGCCGCTTCAACGAGTCAAGCTTGAACGTAACCGCAATGGGATTTCATATTTGAAGACGCTAGCCTAAAGGCCGGCGCACAATAGATACGTTTTCGGGTTTTTTGACCGATAATGCATGGGCTAACTGTAAAAAAAAAGCTGAAAACGTATCTATTGTGCACCGGCCTTAAGGAGGAGTGTTGAAGACCAGTAAGCTGCTTCTATAGTAGTAGGCTAGTTTTTTATTTGAATTAATAAATCTCTCTCATTACTTCTAACCGTCAACCGAACCAGACGCTCTCATGGCTTACTCCAATAAGAAGCGTTTCACGTGTGACGACTACACCTAGATTGTTCAAGAGCACGACATGCAGAAGAAGTTGATTGGTTGATTGGTCTTGCGTCATGTGTTTAATCATTCGCATAGCATAGCAGATATGCCCTATCAATCATGTCTGAGAAATGTTGTGATGGGAATTTACGAGATGCGACTCTTCGGCCACAACTACAATGCTAATGGTGGGGATAGAATTCACATCTTCTGATTCTGCTTCCATCGGCGGTCTTAAGTTAGTATTTCTTTCGCAATTAGAAATAACTAATTTTAAACGTGATGGAATCCATCTTTGACATAAAAGATGAGACGTAAACAAACATCGTTGCTCGACGAAAAGAAGTACGTTTGATTTAGCTATATCTTGCGTCTGTTATGCCTCAATTTGATGTCAAAATTGACGCTCGTAAATGTCACCCTCAGGGCACCTAAATTCACATGAATTTTTCTAATTGTGTTGCCAAGATTATAACGGATGAAAAATACCCACATAAATACCTTCAACAAAATTGAACGAACAAGTGGAAGGTTTCCATGTAACAAGTCAAAAAAAATCATGCTAATCCGGGGATGAATCCACCTCAGAGAAAAAGAGAAGTACATATTACAAGAAGTTGACTTTTCCTCACGCAATATTTCAATTCGAAAAAAAATAAAATAAAACAAAAAAGCTAGAAGCCATTTTGTTTTGTCCTCTATGGTTGGAATGGTTAAAACATTTTTTTCTAAACCACGGTGATGGCTTTTAAACATTTCGGACCACTCCCTCTCTTGCGTGCTCAATCATCCATATAACACCAATAAACCCCCTCCCCTTCCCCTCTAAACAGTCCCCGTCCGGCACTTTCAAACTAGTAGGAATATTCATTGAATTTTTCACCAATCTCTCTACCTAAGTGAATTGTTTTATTTTTTACTATAGTTCACCATGGGGCGAGATTCTATGAACTCTTTTCCATCGCTTCACTCCCCTCCTGCATGACGTGTCACATCAAAGCTGCTCGGTTGATCTTTGTCGCCCCTCTGTTGTTCGTGTCATCACACGCTCTGCCGATATGCCTAGCTATGTGACCGGTTAGCCTGTGGCAGTAGGCGCAGTTCAAAAACCCATATTTGTAACCGCGCCTTCGTGTCATGCCGATCCCCGTTGAAGTATAGCAATCCAATTTAGCTGTTGTCAGACAATTCCTAGAATCCAGAAAAGCCAGTGAGGGCAAGCCTACACACTTACCCACGTAGCCATACAGATGTATTGCGAAGATTTTCATTGGAGCCCACCATTATTTTTCCCAACGCGTATAGATCCGCGGAATACTGCTGGCGTTATGTGCGTTGTTTCGTTGATGGCTACGTGATTCTTCTGAATCATTTTACAGCGTGTAGTGCACTTCCATTACTGATGTTTCCGATAGCCACGTGTGTAAGAGCGTAAAGCATGTCATTCCGGGAAGAAAGTCTGAGCGCTTGTCTTGTCGAAGTCCTAGAAAATCACGCTTGATTATAGTTTCCGATTCTTCAAAGCAGACTGCAAAATTCCATCGAATCTGATTTTCAAAATCTTTGCAAGAGCCACTCTTGTTGGCTCCGAAACATGCCACCCGCAGGCGATTGTGGGATTCATCAGTCAGCTATACGCGTCTCCGCAATGTTGGGAGGAAGTGAAGTGTTCTTGAATCGGTACGAAAGCACTACTGAGAATTCACCGGGATTGAAAAGGATTTGTTTCCAACCACTTGCGTGAGCACTGAGCGCCGAATAGGGATCGGATATCGCGCGTACTGCTGTGGATTGTAATTTTCGACAAGTGTTTTACTGTTAGGGGTGGCGAGGAATTCAATGATATTGAATTAAATCTGAGATGGTTCGTATGAAAACAGAAAATTCATGCAATTGTCGCATGGGTTGGCTTTGTCTTTTGATTTTCCCATTGTCACTCTGAGCATCTGAAGAAAATCGGATTCTAATCAAGAGTGTCAAACATTCAGTGTATAGTCCTAACATATGTAATCAATTCAACCTTGCTATCGAACTCGATGGATATTAAAGGATGTTCACTTCGAAAAATGGCACTAAAATAGCATCCTCATGACCATCGAAATAAATCGCGCACTTGTGTCCACATTGTGTTTACTGCACTTGAAATTGAGCAAATTTTGCATTGCTGTATAATACTCTTCCCGTTGCTATTATTCAATTTAAATTTGACGTGCTTCAAGGTAATGATTAAACCTTATGCCACAAAAATGCTTAAGTGGTCCAGTAGGTATAGTTGATGCCTGTGAAACAGTACTGCCGGTTCGAGTCCCAAAATGAAGGTAATTGTTAGACGTATAATAACGATATAAATATGTAAATCCAGTAAGTCAATGGTAGAGCAGCCTCATTTTTTTTTTTAAAGAAGGCTGAACAAGGGTTGTAGAGTATTTTTTATTTAGTGCCTTGAAAAGTTTAATATTTATATTACTGTTAAGCTTTCGGCTGATTAAAATTACTTAGATTTAGATGTTTAAAAGCTGAACAAAGATTAACGTGGTCTATATAAAACAATTATTCATGTGCGACAATGCCCTGAACTTTGTTGGAGCCAAGTCCAGTTTTAGAGTAGGTGTGTCTGTGTCGCAACAGTTTTTTTTTTAAGAGCAGTGACCCTAACGTAACACAAGTGCCGTGTGATGGCGACGGTAGCTGCGGTATAAAAAGTGTGACGATAGCAGTGAAGAATAGACAGGCGATATTAGGCAGTTTGCTGCACGTTCCTGCACCAGTTGAGGAGAACAACAATACACACCAATAGCACCGAGACGACCGACACAGCTGGAAACGGGGAAGTACTAGTTGCATGATCTGTGATGGTTTGTGGTGGTTTTGCATGTAACCGCCGGAGTCAAACTGCATGTAATTGAACAGTGGTAAATAAATTGAAATTTCGATTATTTCTGAGTGTTTTTCTCCATTGGGATCGAGCCTTGGCAGTATCTGCAATTTTCTCCACGGAATTGGACGGTTGGTCTTGCAATTGTTGGCTTTTTCTCCTGTTGGTTGTTGTCTGTTTGGTTTCTCCACTCGCTGTTGTCAATCTTCACAGTTTTATCCAAAGCTTCGCGAGATCGCGCGGGACGTCGAGTCGATGAGGAGTTTATTGTGAATAAAAAGTGCACAGTGGAAGTGATAGTATCGGTGGCAGTGAAGTGTCCTATTCAATTTCTTAGTAATTAGTGCTGTTAGTGAGTAGTGAACATGACTAACAATCTTCGTGAACTTCAGAAGCAGGAAAGGAACATTCGGAGGACTCTCGATGGTATGCAGTATTTCGTAGATCATTATGAAGAGGAGCAGAGTGATCAGGTGGAAATCCGCTTGCAAAGATTGGAGGAGGTGTTCAAGGAATTCCACACAGTCCGTCGAAGAATTGAGTTGTTGACGGATGACATTGTTCCTGCAGAAGAAACTGAAATCAAGATATCCAAGGAACAACATCAAGTTCGCATAGATGCTGTGAAGAAGGCGAGAGAGGAAGAAAACGTGCAGATCGTTATGAAGATTGAAAACAGCTACTACAACTTGAAGGCTGCTCTTTCAAGGTTAATGCCGAAGCCTGATCTTGTTGGAGTTAGACCTGATGCCCGACCAGTACCGCAAGCCGTTCCAGCCAATGGTTCGAGAGTAAAATTGCCTGAAATAAGACTGCCGAACTTTAGTGGACAACTCATGGAGTGGGTCACCTTCCGAGACACTTTCCGTAGCTTGATACACAATAACCAACAGTTGACAGCTGTGGATAAGTTCTCGTACCTACGATCTTCACTGACGGGCGAAGCTCTACAAGAGATCAACTCGGTGGAGATGTCCGAAGTAAATTACGAGGTAGCTTGGACAACACTGGAACGGAGGTACGAAAACAAAAAGTTAATCGTCAAGGCCCATTTGGATTCCTTGTTTGCGGTAGAAGTTATGAAGAAGGAGAGTTACGAATCACTGAGTAAGCTGGTTGGTGATTTCGAGAAACACTTGTTGATGCTGCAGAAAATCGGAGAGGAGACCGCCAATTGGAGCACCATATTAGTACACATGGTTTGCTCGCGCTTAGATTCCGCTACTCTTCGACACTGGGAGACACATCACAACTCGAAAGAGGTTCCCACATACACGAACCTAATCCAGTTTCTGCGCGGACACTGTTCCGTACTACAATCAGTCGCTCCCGTGAAGTCCATCCCAGTCCAGGAGAAACGGCCCAAGCTTGGAGTGAGTAATTCTGCAGTTCAATCATGGAACAAGTGCGCATTTTGTGGAGAGGCATTCCATTCTGCATTCCGCTGCATCAAGTTCCTGAAACTGAAGGTTCCCGAACGCTACGACATGGCACGACGAAACAAATTATGCCTCAACTGCTTATCAGCAGGACATCAGTCGAAGTCGTGCGTCAAGGGGTCCTGCCACCATTGCCAACAGAAACATCATTCCCTGTTGCACAATGACTCAAATCAGTCTGTCAAATCCTCCGTCTCGTCACAAGCGAAATCTTCATCAGCGAACCAACAGCAACACCAGACACAATCACACACTCAAGGCCAGTCTATACCCAACCAAACCACTCAACCTTCCACAAGCGCTCTCCCTATTACACTCTCGCAGAACACTAAACCACTGTTCACCACAAACCAGACATGCACTAGTCAGAACACAATTTCACTGTCAATCAGTAACCAAAACCGTACTCGAGACGTACTGCTATCCACTGCTGTGGTGTGCGTTAAAGATCAGTATGGAGCGACACGACTAGCCAGAGCTTTACTAGATTCGTGTTCGCAATATTGCTTTATGAGCACCAATTTCTGTCAAAGGTTAAAACTTCAAGGATTCCCGGATTATTTGGCGGTCCAAGGAATTGGAGGATCAAAATCCATATCGCGAAGGATGGTCAAGGCATTCATCTTTCCCCGATCTGGTGATATTTCGTCGTATACCGAAAACATGCCGTTCTATGTGCTACCAGAGTTGACAGCAACACTTCCCGTTCGAAAGGTCAGCACCGGTCAATGGATTCTTCCTAGCAGCATCGTGTTGGCAGACCCGCAGTTCAGTGATCCAGGACCCATCGATATCATCATTGGAGCGGAGTATTACTTTGATCTCCTTACCGATGGGCGCAGCAAGATATCAAAAACCGGCCCAACTCTGCAGAACACCGTCTTTGGCTGGGTCGTGTCTGGTCCCATTCCAAATCAACCAGTAAATCCGCCTCAAGCAGTGTCATATTCATGTACACTAGCGGACATCCAAGACCAGTTAGCACGATTTTGGGAGCTGGAATCCTGCAAATCCAGCAGCATCCATTCTGTGGAAGAGTCATCGTGCGAAGCTGTTTTCGACGAAACAACAACACGGGACAGCAGTGGAAGATTTGTAGTGTCCCTCCCGAAGAAGGAGTTCGTGATGCAGCAGCTTGGAGAATCTGAACTAATCGCTACTAAAAGTTTTCTCGCCCTGGAAAGACGCTTGGAAGCAAATCCAGATCTGAAAGCTCAGTACCAGGATTTTATTCACGAGTACGAGCGGCTAGGCCATATGAAGCAAGTGGACATCAACGATTCAGATTTCCCGATATACTTTCTCCCACACCACGCTGTATTCAAGCCGGACAGCACCACCACAAAACTGCGTGTGGTGTTCGATGCGTCTTGCAAAACTTCCACGGGCGTTTCCCTGAACGATGCGCTAATGGTCGGTCCAGTCGTGCAAGACGATCTTTTATCAATTCAGCTACGTTTCCGCCTCCATCGAATAGCAGTTGTTGCAGACGTCGAGAAGATGTACCGAATGATACTGGTGTACCTGTTGGATCAACGACTTCAATGCATCTTGTGGAGAAACTCACCGAACGAGCCAATTCGTATCTACCAGTTGACTACAGTCACATACGGGACAGCGTGCGCACCTTACTTAGCTACCAAGTGTTTGCAACGTCTAGCAGAGCTTGAGTCCGACAAGTATCCCGTTGCAGCGAAGGCGATGAAGAATGATTTTTACGTCGATGACATGTTGACTGGAGCCGATGACATCGAAGCCATTATCCGTTTGGTGAAGGAAATGGTTGAGCTAACCTCCTCGGGTGGATTTAACTTGAGAAAGTGGAATTCCAACTCCAGTGCTCTTCTGGCTGAGTTACCAACTCATCTCGTAGATGATCAATCTGCCTTGGACCTTGATATGTCGAACGCTCCTGTCAAAACATTAGGTCTGCTGTGGAATACGAGCACTGATTGCTTCCTATTTCGGTCACCCGTCTGGAATGCAGATGCAGTTATTACCAAACGAGTTGTACTTGCGGACACGGCTCGATTATTCGATCCTCTTGGCCTGGTGGGACCAGTCGTCATCATTGCGAAGATGTTCGTGCAAGATTTATGGAGACAGAAGTGTGACTGGGATGAATCGCTACCAGAAGCAATGCAGAACTTCTGGATCGAATACAGGAGAAATCTCTCGGCTTTAGATTCGCTTTCGATTCCTCGGTGGGTGGCGTTCTGCACGGACCTTGCTTCAATTCAAATTCACGGCTTTTGCGATGCGTCCAAGAAAGCCTACGGAGCATGTCTGTACCTCCGGAGTACCACATTCAGCGGATCAGTGGAAGTTCGTCTCATCACAGCGAAATCCAAAGTTGCACCTCTAGAGGATCTCAAGCGGAAGAAAAGGGAACAAACTACACCACGACTGGAGTTGTCAGGCGCGCTACTCCTCAGTCATCTGTACGAGAAGTTCGTGAGCAGTACCGGTATCCACCACACAGCTCACTTTTGGACCGATTCTACGATCGTGATGTACTGGTTGTCATCCTTGCCATCGAGATGGCAGATGTTCGTGGCGAATCGAGTGTCTGAAATCCAGCACATTACAAAGGGAAGTTCCTGGAAGCATGTAGCCGGTGCAGACAATCCGGCCGACATTATCTCTCGAGGAATGATTCCAGCCCAGTTACAGTATGAAAAGCTGTGGTTCGAAGGTCCTCTGTGGCTTCGCCAAGATGCTAGTATATGGCCGTCGAATGTTCCAGAAGAAGAAGTTGATCAAGCACTCCTGGAGGAAAGAAAGATCGTTGCACTGCCAGCAACATCGGAACCAGTCAGTGAAATATTCAGCCTTCGTTCGTCGCTCTTTATCTTGGTCCGATTGATCGCAAGAATACGCCGTTTCGTCCATAATACACAGCATAGAGATGAGAGGCGTACTGCTTTCCTGTCGTATCCTGAGCATGAAGAAGCACTAGGAGTCCTGGTTCGACTGGCACAACGAGAATCGTTTCCGATGGAATTCGCTGCATTGGAGAAAGGAAAGTCTATCAGCCCGTCGTCAAAGTTGAACAAGCTCAACCCTATCTTCATCGATGGAGTATTACGTGTAGGAGGTCGATTAGCAAAGGCACCAGTATCAGCAAGTCGGAAGCATCCGATAATCCTGTGTCACCGTCATCCGTTGGCCAAGTTGGTCCTAGACTATTATCATCGCAAGAACTTCCATTCTGGGATGCAGCTGCTTGTGTCCACAGTGCGGGAGCGATTCTGGGTAACACGCATCAGAAGCCTAGCCAACACTGTCATTCATGAATGCGTCCAGTGCTTCCGTAACAGACCGAAGGTTTTGGATCAGCTAATGGCTGACCTTCCATCCGAACGTGTATCTCCAGCGCCACCATTCCTGAACGTAGGCGTGGATTACTGCGGACCGTTCCTGATTAGCTATCCAATCCGCAGATCCTTCCCTAGGAAACACTTTGTCGCAATCTTCGTCTGCCTTGTAACGAAGGCAGTCCATCTTGAACTGGTGAGCGATTTGACCAGTGAAGCCTTTCTTGCTGCCTTCAAACGATTTGTGGCACGCAGGGGAAGACCAGCCCTAGTCATGTGCGACAATGCCCTGAACTTTGTTGGAGCCAAGCGTCAGTTGGATGAATTACGGCAGTTATTCATGGATCAAGGATTCCACGATTCTGTTGCACGCGGAGCAGTAGAGGAAGGAATAGAGTTTCGATTCATTCCGGCAAGATCTCCCAATTTCGGCGGCTTATGGGAAGCCGCGGTGAAATCGTTCAAAGGGCATTTCAAGCGCACTATCGGCGACAGAGTGCTCCAGCATGACGAAATGTCTACAGTGTTGCCACAAATAGAAGCCATCCTGAATTCTCGACCGCTCACTCCGATCAGTAACGACCCGTCGGATTTCGAAGCGTTAACTCCTGGACACTTTCTCGTCCAGCGACCATTAACAGCGATTGCAGAACCATTGTTGGAAAATATTCAGCACAATCGGCTGTCTATGTGGCAGCGAGCTCAGGACTATGTTCAGCAAATCTGGAAGAAGTGGTCTGTTCAGTACCTTTCCGATCTCCACAATAGAACAAAATGGACCCGCAAGCGCGATAACATCTCCATCGGTACCTTGATTCTGTTGAAAGAGGACAACCTCCCGCCTCTGAAATGGAAGCTAGGACGTGTGGTTGACATCCATGCTGGCTCAGATGGAAACATTCGCGTAGTTACTGTCAAAACGCAAGACGGTCTGTACCGAAGGGCAATTTCCAAAATTTGCATCCTACCGATAAGTGACAACTTCGATCTTGCTGCTTCCGAGCAAAATTAAACAGCGCTCTGCTCGTGCTTCAGTGCGACCAGAACTAACCACTGTCAACATCATTTTCCAATTCCGGAAATCCGGAACATCTTGAGGTCTACCAAGTCCAGTCCATCCGTCCGTAATTCGCTGATCCATCATTGGTGATCAGCATCCTGTATCGTTCTGCATGTGTGAAGTTCACGGTGCTGTCCTGTCTGTCATTACGATACGTTCCTGACTTTGTCGCAATTCCTTTCCGTAAAGTAGGATGATGATTTTCAACGACGCGTTGATGGATAAGGGGAATCCATGGCACCCTAATCCGATGTTCGTCCAAACTGGAGCCTCGCTGAGCATCGTCATCGTTTTGGTGGTCAACACATCCGTTTTTCCAAGCAATTTATCCGTGTGATATGGAATCATCGTTGGTGCTTCGGCGCCCGCGGAGGCCAGGAGGCCTCCGCTCCAGGCAAGTCGATTTATAGTTGGGTTAAATAGTTTAAAAAGCACCCTCTCATTTTTTAGATAGTTCTTTCCGTCGCCAACCCGTGGACACACCCGTGTCAGACCTCAAGTCAGTCAGTCGTAGAAGAAGATCGAAGTCATTTCGTGCCAAGTTCCGGCAGTAGTTGGGCTGTAGCAGTCGTCCAGCAGTAGTAGCAGTGTAGCAGTATCAAGAAGGAGAAGTTAGTCCACGTCATTGACGTCGTGGAACCGGCAGCAGTATCGAAGAAGACAAGTGTTTAGATTAGATTGAAATCACTGAGATTCCAAGGTGGGCGGTATGTTTGAACATAAATAGAAGCACCCTACCACCAAACATGTTCCACACGAAATCGTACTTCACCTACTCTCACACACAGCTCTCACGATCCTCTCTTATCAGCTAATCTCCTTTCCACGAGTAGATTGTAGGTACGAGTGAACAGCTGATAGGGGCAATAAATTAGTTATCCACCAATCGCGCGCGTATACAGATGTTTTTTTATCATTATTCCTGTGACCTTTTTTTGAAGAAGAATAAATTCCGTTCCCGTTGCAAATAACCGCAATTAATTAAAGTGTAAGGTCCGAAATCCGATCAATTTGTGATCCTGTGCGAACATTTTTGTTCAAAAAAAAACTGCAGACCACGTATTAAAAACACTTTTTCCATAAATCACTGTTCTTTATCTTCGTGATCACACGCACTGAATCGGTCCTTTTTCAGGTGAAAAGTCCCCGAAATCCGGTTCGAAGGACCAAAAATGTTCGCACAGGATCACAAATTGATCGGATTTCGGACCTTACACTTTAATTAATTGCGGTTATTTGCAACGGGAACGGAATTTATTCTTCTTCAAAAAAAGGTCACAGGAATAATGATAAAAAAACATCTGTATACGCGCGCGATTGGTGGATAACTAATTTATTGCCCCTATCAGCTGTTCACTCGTACCTACAATCTACTCGTGGAAAGGAGATTAGCTGATAAGAGAGGATCGTGAGAGCTGTGTGTGAGAGTAGGTGAAGTACGATTTCGTGTGGAACATGTTTGGTGGTAGGGTGCTTCTATTTATGTTCAAACAAAGTGAATTAAAATAGTTACAACAACACTTGTTAAGCATCAAATTGTTACCTGGGAATCCCAAAAAAAATAAGATATAAAGCGATCTTCTATAAACTTTTGTTGAAGTTAAACTAAACGGCTGAACAAAGGCTGCAAAAGACTGTTGTTTAATGCATTAAAAAGATTATAATTTGGTATTGACCAGCATGACAGAAGAGGTAAAACCAAAGAACAATACCAAAAAATTACATGGCAAATACATGTGAATACCAAAAATTTATATTTGTATACCAAACGAATACCTGGGTGGTATTGTTTTGGTATTGCATAATCATCATTTGGCATTGGAATGGTATTGTGGGAACATAGTTTTGGTAATATTTGTTGGTATTTAACCTCTTATGTCAGGCTCATCCATACCAATTTAAGGTATCGAGATATTCATTCCTGCTCAGGTTATTCTTTAGGCTGATTAAAATCTCCAGATTTAGATGTTTAAAATCTGAACAAAGGTTAACGTGGTCTACGTTAAACAATTATTCAAACTACCGCTGAATTAAAATAGTTGAAACAACACATGTTAAGCATCATATTGTTACCAGGGTACTTAGTACTTAGTACTACTTTTGCTATCTGTAAATGTGAAATTCTATAAATTCAGGACAGCACATCTTAGTGAGGGATTAAACTTCCACTACCTAAATATGGAGAAATCGACAATCAAAGGAACAATCCATAAGCTTATTAATACGATTCTAAACACTTCGTGCTCAGAAAGTGTTGATGAATCAGGCTAAAGGCTATGATATCACTTGAAAAACACAATTTCGTTCCAAGACCCGGATAGACGAATGGCATATACAAGTTCCAGAATATATGTTTCAGATCCCCATATTCAGGCCCAATGCTCACAATGCGCAGTGGTCCAGGAGGGTGTTTTTCAGGTAAAAACTAAAAAAGTGCATAAAGATGCAATTTAATCAAGTTGGTGACTTCAGACAAGTTTAGATTTGAAAAAAGACGCATCTGATCGAGGGGTCGTCCATAATTTAAATCCCTTAGAACAAAAACTAATATTTCTTACTTTTTTCTATGCGGTTTAGAAAAATAAAATGTTCCACAAAGTTGTAGATCTTATCATTTCCACAAACTGTACTGGAAACATAAAAGGTTAAAATCATCGTTTTCATTGAGATATGAACTATTTTTTAAGGAAGGTCCCTTAAAATCGTTTTTTCAACCATATCTTTTTTATTTGATTTTTTTATGGCATACTATGTTAGAAGGAGTTTTTTCATTTATTAAAACATCAACTTTCTAGAATACTTCAACACGCTACCTCACAAATGCAACATGTCAAGAGCGCTTATGTGTTCAAAACAAACGGTATTCTGGTGGATAATTTGCAAATTGGGGCAACCAGTTTTTTTAAACTAATGACGTAATAAAATTAAACATGCTTTGATGAATATTTTCATGTAAAAATATCAGAGGGGAAGTTAATTTTCATTCCAGGACAGCTAATTTAAAATCATGGTTTTTAGCACAATTTTACTTAAAATTGGCTCTTTTCTGAGCTAACTTCTTTTATTTCAAAGTTTAATCATCTCTTTCGTTAAATATGTATTTTTTGTAGAAAACCACACAGCTTGAAATATAAATATCACACTACAACATTATGATTCTGCTAATTTTAAGAGATTTGTGCCATATTATGTTATTGACATTATCAAAGTCATTAAAAAGATAGGGTTTGTATACAGCGCAAAACCGCATTATTGACGTAGGACTACACGATTATTGTTGTTGCTCCATTCAATAATATTCACTAGATTAGTAAAACATAAACTTAATTCCCAAATGAACAATGTATCAATTCAGTTTTCAAATATTTGAAATTAGGTGACACTCAATATCGTAGAATGAAGACTATATTTTTAGAACTCAATATTTAGTTCCTATCCCATTTGAGATAAGGTTCCAAACATGGACACTAAACGATCTGTAACTGAATAATAATTGAAACTTATCGTTAGCGACGCCAGTGGTGTAGTGGTAAGCGTGAATGCCTCTCACCCCCCCCCCCCCCTCTGAGGCATAAAATTCATGATCACGGCTTCCTTCGGAAGGGAAGTAAAACCGTTGGTCCCCGGTTCATGAGTTAATAAGTCGATATGTAGGGTCCAGGCGCAGGAGCTGCCTTCCTGGTGTCGGTAGCATTTGTACTCAGTACGGAAAACAAGTTCAACGGAAAACAAATAATAAAAAAAATCAATCGTAAGTTAAAATGCATTTCATATAACATTCCAGTTTATAATACATTGCAGTGCATCTGACATCATAAGTGTTCGGAAAATCATTCTCAAATATCATTCTTTGAGCCTCCCTGCGAGAATAAACTCGCGTACGATTATCATGCATATTCACGCACTCACACTCACAACATGCCTAGGCATGTTGTGTTAGTTTTCCAACTCCTGATGCGCAAACAATAGGAATAACAATGAATAACACCAAAATATAAAGCAATGAAAACTGAAAACTCATCGGTGATTTTTGCGACGTTGAGTCTTGCGAGGCAAAACTCATAGACGCATAAACTCATGCATGAGATTTGAATTTTTGAGTTTTTCCGTACACTGGACATAATATAACATTTTTGCATCTAATAGGTATTGTACACCTGCACAACTTTTCCGATGACACCAACCTTCTATCAAATCGGGATGTCATGTTAAGCAAGTAATTAGAGATCAAATGGCACGCTCTCACTACCTGATGAGCACGTTATGAACTGAGCATTCCACCATCCAATACGCTTTATCCATTTGAACAACTTTAGCCAAGACATCAAACTTCTGTTTAGTTAACACGCCAAAAAATCGACCCATTAATTAATTTTAAGTAAGTTTTTACCTTATTGTTGGCAAAGCTTTTACCTATTTTTGGATTTCCCTTGTTTACTCCGAAAATAATTCATCCTATTGTACACATTTTTGGATAATTTTGAACGGGCGTGTAAAAACTATTAGCCAAATCTCGATGAACATTTTAAAAGGCTCGATCTCCTTTGATCGATTCACTTGCATTAATACATCCGCAGATGAACTAACACAACAAATTACAGGTGCACTCTTTTATAACCTCACTATCGGTTATCTGCCTGATAGTCATAGCAAGTGCGTTAGCAAGCGAGCACTAAATGATCGATGATGGTAAATTTTTTTGATCATTTTTTTATAGTTTACTATTGATAAACCACTATAATATTTACACCAAACGGATCTTACATCAAATTTTAATCAAATGTTGTAATTAGATTCAAAATCCATCCATAATTGGGCAAGTTTTAAGCGTTCAAAACCTGACACTATTTCGTCACACTATTTTGTCGATTTGCACACCAGTTTATTCCACAATGACGTAGTTCATACGTCAATATTAACCATCAGCATGAAGTATCTCCCACAATATTTGA